CTGCTGAGGAGTCCCATAATAGGACGATTTGGCCGTCCAATGCTTCCAGGTTTTCCATGGTAGTGTAGCTTTAATTAACTCATGCTTTCAACCATACAAATACTAAATCTCCACAAAACCCCCTTCCAAGAATAACAAATAATTCCAAGTTCATGGTAGGATTTATCCTTCTTTTTTTCGATTTTTATATAATCAATATACTTCATCTATTTAATTTTTATCCTTTTTCTCTAAAAAACAAAAAAATTCAGGTCGAAATTCAATGATAATATACTTGTATACCTGGTAATTCATGACCTATACCTATATATATATATATTTATGTACATAGATATTAATTTTTGTTCATTATAAACATGTATGTATCTATGTATGTGTGTGTGTGTCTCATGTATATTATTTCTAACTCTGCACAATTCCACATAGATACAAATACAAGTGTGCATATACCTATATATATATACATCCCTAGTCCAAGCCCTACCACCGTTACCACCCACCCATCTCTTTCAATATGTACATTAGTATTTTTTGATAGTATGTGTATACAATGAACCATAAGGTGTTTTAGTCCATAATAACACCAATTAAAAATGACAATACTGAAATGCATGTTATTACTTTTTCTTTTCTTTTACATATTAAGTATAATTGAAAGGAAGACAATAGTGAAGATCATCACCACTATCTATCCAACAATAATTATCCTTAATTGTTAAAGCATGTATCTCATGTCAACAATTTATTTGTTATTCAAATTTCAATATTTTCATTAGTTGAAATCATTAGTCAATTTGAAACTAGACCAGCATGGAAAACCTGGAAGCATTAGATGGATAGATCCTAGGTTCGAATCTTGTGAGTGATTGATCGTGGATGCTCACTTCTGAGGAGTCCCACAATTACGACGAAATGGCCGTCCAGTGCATCCAGGTTTTCAATGGTGGTCTGTTTAACTTCAATTGACTCATGATTTCAACTATGAAAATACTGAAATCTCTACAAAACCCCCCTTCTGATTTAAATTTCAGTTTTGTTTTCATTTTTTTTAATGCAATTTTTTGTTGTTGTTTAACTAAATCTCTTTTTTTTCATTATGATTTACATTTACATTTTAAGAATGAATATAGAGGTCATGAATAGTTTACTAAATAAATTGAATGGTGGGTGGTTTCTATGGCATTGGTTTAGTGATTTTTTTGAAAATCATTACTCATATTCTCATTATGTTCATTTAGTTTGTTCAACAACAACAACAAATTCGGTTTTATGCTTTTTTCGTAGTTTTTTTCTTTATTTTGTTTTCTTTTTTTTCTTTTTTTCTTTTTTTGATCCATCTAAAATGTACAGCTAAATCAATAAGAGATGATCACAATTGATTGATCACTGGATGATAATCAATGTCATACGTGTCAAGTCCTTCTTGGTGGATTCGATCAGTGATCAATCAATTGTGATTACATCTTAGTCCTACGGGAGGTCAGTCGTGGCCCGAATAGCTCAGTGATAAAGTCTCTGATTGTGAAACTAAGTGATATGGGACCGAATCCATCAGGGAGCACTACTTCTCCCTGAAGATTACAAGTACACCTTGCTGATGAGTGCCAAGTAGCATGAAATCCGGGTTCAGGGTTTCATTTGACCACTTCCAACCACCATCTTATTAATAAGAGATGAAAAAAGTCATGTTATGAATATCAAAATTGAATAAGAAATGAATGTTAGGAGTTAGGATTAAATAATTATGTTTAGGATACACATCATGAACTGAAATTACTCATAATCTAAGTTACCTTAATGTATATCCTAATCCATATTCCTAGAATAATAAGTCAGTTAAATTCACTTAGTATGGTTTGTTTGAATCTTCCCATTGATATTTTTGGACTGCAACTGGTTGGTCTCTTATTGGCAAATGTGCATACTGTGCGTATTGTCTCGATATAACCTTAATTCACAAGCATTATAAGCAAAGATGGATAGCGAAAGGTACTGGGTTCGAGTCTCAGAGTGAACATCAACTCTGAGATGCAGGTACATCCAGCTGAAGAGTTGCAAATAGGACGAAATGTGAGTCCTGGATTCCACTTTACTTACAATAAGTCAGTTAGTTATCTATGAAATCTCCGAATCAGATAAAATGACTAACATTTCATAATTGTTTGGCTGTATATATCAGATTGACTTTGATTTTTTCATTTAGAGAAAATATTTCTTTTTTTCAAGTCTTATTGATCAATAATTATTATGATAAGAATGGGGGGTTTTGTGGAGATTGTAATAATTTTAATAATTGAATTCATTGGTCGATGTAAGCTAGACCACCCTGGGAAATCTGTAAGTACAGGACGGTCGTTTCGTCTCAATATGGGACTCTTCAGCAGTGCACATCCATGATCCCGCATGCGGGATCGACTCATGAATTCAACTATTAACATTAAATATTAATTAATCAGTCTGTTTTTTTATTAAAGTGAGAATGGAACCCCAACTTTCTTGGCATTTTGAATACTGAATAAGTAAAAGATCATTAATTATAACAATGTAAAGTACACTTCGTTAATGTATACAGATTAAGGTCAATTTTCAGGATTATTAATATGTGAAGTTTTAAAATGTTCTTAAGTTTAAGACAAATCCTAATTGACTGTAGATTATTACTAAGATTACAGAAAGTATTTGATGGTATTATCATTGAATACTAATAAATTTGGAAGCATTGGAAGCTCTTTTCGTCTTAGTATAGGACTCCTTAACAGTGTGCTTCGACAATCCTGCATACAACACTTGAACCCAGGACCTATGGTCTCGTACCCGAAGGCTTAAACTCTAGACCACTGAGCCAACATCCAGCTGTGTTAATGTTTAACTTCAATCAATCCATGATCTTGTACAACCCTTTATCCATTGTCTAAGGTTGATAACTATCTCACACCCGACACGGGTTGGACTCCAGTGGTAACGGCAAGAATTACTTAGCTTATTTTGTCATTTCAATTTCACTAAGTGTAAGATTTACTTATTTTTTGTACTTCCTTATAAATGAATTTTGGGAATTAAATGGTGAACTTTCTACACCTATGTTCTACTAAGAACAAACTTTAAAAGGTATTTTGATCTCCTATTATAGAGGATTCCATAAATTTTTTAATGTTAACAAATATCAAGAAGAATTATATGCAAGTTCCATATGAGAGTTGTGTCAAATGACACTGCAACATGCGCTTAACCTCTAGAACCACTTAACCGGCATCCAACGGTGTTAATGTCCAACTTCAACCGATCCAGGAAATTGAGCGACACACCCACCATTGTCTTCAGTGGGTTACTATCTGACAACACACCTAGCTTAAATTGACACATGATCTTAACTAATGAAAAATTAGTAAGACGTAATAAGGAGGGATGAATGCGAAGTGAATGAATCGTGTATAGAGGAGATTATTACTGATGTTTAACCAATAATAATAATACAAAGATTTGTGAATAAAGATAAGAGAGACAATTACATTTGACTACGAAAGGTCGTGAGTACATAGTCAAATTAGGTCATTCAATAGCTAAGATTACTATTGATTAATTGGCCTTGTGTTTGGTCAAAGGAGGAGCAGTGGTTGGAGATATTTCTTCTGTACGCATAGCTCCGGTTTCTTCATCCGGATGACTACTGCCTCAGCCGTTTGAAAGACTTTAATCGTTACAAGCTTTGGCAAAAGATTACTGACCCTATAAATAATTGATAAGGATTGGTTTGTACTGTCACTATGACCAGTTTGTACTAAATGGGCCAATATCGAGCTGTTTACTTTCTTCACCAAACCTTTGCTAAGCCACACTGGGAGGTATTCGAGATCACAAAAACGTAAATTCCTAGAACTTCGACCAATATAACATGCTCCACAGGAGCAGTTGAGCTTATAAATACAAATTGACGTTGTAATTCTAGGTAATTCATCTTTTAGCCATGGTGTCACCATTGGGCGCGTAGAAAACACTAAACGTAGTTCCCCGGCGTTGAAAGATTTTTGCATTGTTCTGCATATTCTCTGACTTAGTATTTCACAAGCCACTTCCCCTTTGAATTGTAGGCACATGAACAGGGATTTCTTCTTCTCGACTGTTTGAATTGGGCCTATTTACACTTTCGTGATCATTTATTTAATTATAAACTTTCCATGGTAACCGTTCTCCCTAAGAGTATTAAATGTATCACATTTTAGATTAGTAAATTTATATTAACAAGATGTATATGATATCCTTATCATTTCTTTGTTAGATTATTATCAGTAAAATAGTTTAACTGACTTATAAACAATCAGTTTAAGTAATTCATTTTCCAATGTTTTCCAATTATTCTGCTCTAGGTTATTTCGTAGAATTTCAAACTTTGATCTAGGTGTTTTTAGCTCAGTATATTCGTAATTTCCACTATTATTATTATCAGAAGGGGTTTTGTGGAGATTTCAGTATTTTCATAGTTGAAATCATGAGTCAGTTGAAGCTAGACAGACCACCATGGAAAAAGTGGAAGCACTGAACGGCCGTTTCGTCCTATTATGAGACTCCTCAGCAGTGCACACCCACAACCCCACCCCGCGAGATTCAAACGTAGGACCTACCAGTCTCGCGACAGAGCTCTTAACCACTAGCAACTGACTTCATGAGATACTTCTTGGAGTTCTAGTGAGAAGCAGTGACCAGTGGAGTTCGAATAAGGTCTGTTGTGAGATATCAACTCACCGAAGACAATTGGTGGACGGTTGCTCAAATTTCGTGGATTCATTGAAGTTAGACATCAACACCGTTGGATGCCGGCTTAGTGGTCTATCGGTGAAGTGCTCTGGCGCGAGACTGACAGGTCTTTGGTTCGAATCTAGCTCGCGAGGCAAGGCCGTTGATGCGCACTGCTGAGGAGTCCCATAATAGGACGATTTGGCCGTCCAATGCTTCCAGGCTTTCCATGGTGGTCTAGCTCCATTATTATTATTATTATTATTATTATTATTATTATTATTATTATTATATGTTCTCCAGTTTCATGAACTTGCGCTGCGACTTTCCACATATTACCAGTTATCGTTTAGTCTTAAATATACTGAATATCAATAATTAACTTTCACATTCAATCTTAGATTTAAGTCTTAAACAAGGTTATATTCATAGATTGTGAATCCTTATATATTATTGTATAAATAATTCATAGCAAATATCCAACTATGACTCAAAGTAATCTCTTAGAAGTTTCTTTTGTAAACTGTTTACTGATGCATTTATTTATGCTTTTAATCAAAAGATTGAATTCATGTGTCGATTAAAGTTAGACCATCATGTAAAATCTGAGAGCACTGGATAGCTGTTTCATTCTAGTATAGGACTAAGCACTGCGCATCCAAGATTCCACATAAAACACTCGAACCTAGGACGTCAGGTCTCGCGTACGAACTCTTGACCTTTAGGTTAATGAACCGGCATCAAATGGTGTTAATATCCAACTTCAACTAATCCATGAAACCGTGCCACTGTCCACCTGTTATATCTGGAGCTTAGATTCTTACTATGCCGCGAAATACTAGACTACTTGAACGATCGAACTCGCAACGTCGCAAGAGAGAAAACAGAAGACTTGTAAGTAGGAATGTTATTCCCAAAACAGTGTCAAATATAGTACAAAAATCTCATATATTTATAGTTTTTTGGCTGAAAGTAAATCATCATTTCGGACAGCCAATAGGCACGTAAGGGGTTGTTCTTATTCAACCAATAGGAGAGCTACACGTCGACATTCTAGAATGTTCCTTTGGCGTGCATTGGATGGAATGTGTTTGGCTCTTCTCCAGGCTTCCTTGAGTTTGCTAACAAGCCATCCTAACACCACTATTATCTTCAGTGAGTCACTGCCTCGCAACAAACACAAATCAAATTTCACTGGTCACAGCTTTCCGATAATAATCATCATATACCCACTAGTGACTAGCTTCAAGAGGTATTTCAAGAAGTTGTAGTGAGAAGCTGTGACCAGTGGAGTTCAACGAGGTCTGTTGTTGAGGCAGTTACTCACTGAAAACATTTGAAGTTGGATAATAACACCATGCAAATCCTGTTCATTGGTTTAGAGGTTAAGCGTCCGTGCGCGAGACTGACAGGCCCTGGGTTTCAATCGCGCTAGAGGGATCGTGAATGCTCACCACTGAGGAGTTCTATACTAGGACGAGTAGACTATCCAATTCGTCCACGTTTTCCATGATTGTCAACTATTAAAATTACTACAATCTCCATAAAACTCCCTCTATTTCAAATGATTAATGGGCGGTTAAAAATAGATTTATCTATATCGTGAATAATTTTCATTCTTGTTTTTTTTTTTTAATTTTCATATCAAAAAAAGCGGTTTGTTTTGTTTTAATTTTTCTTTTCTTTTTGTTGTTGTTTTTTTTTCTTTTTCATGTGTTCATTTCTGTTTGATTTACTTTCATGTATCCATGTTCATATTTTATTTATCATAAAAACAAAAAAAAACATACTGCATGAATTAACATTTGAGTTTACAAAAAGAGAAAAAGGAAAGGGGGTGGGCAAGAAATAGTACATAAAGGGAGAGAGAAAGAAAAAAAGAAGCAAAGAAGGAAGGAAAGAAGGAAAGAAGGGAACAATCTTACTGTTACATTTTCCTAGTTACTTTTATTATTTATTTCAAAAGGACTAGTGTTCAGTAAATGAAACTAAAATTAGAATAACCTAATTGCTTTCAGAATATGAAGGTAACAAAAAGGAAAAATCAAAGTGGGCAACACTATTCCTCTTCTTTTTCTTCTTGTTTTATCCTAGTTTCAGATCATTTTAACAATATCTAATATTAGACTATTGAAAAATCATTATTATAAACTAATCTTTAAATAGTTCTATGTGATATATGCGTTCTCACGAGAGACTGATAAGTCCTAGGTTCGAAACACTTGGAACGAGATCGTGAATATGCATTACTGAAGAGTCTCAAAATAGGACAAAACAGCCTTCCACTACTTCTAGGTTTTCCATGGTAGTCTAGTTTCAATCGATCTATCGTCTCAACTATTAAAATTGATATACAGCTGATTCATGATAAGTATTTGAAAAGTTTATGAACTACTTATTATTCATTTTTTTATTTCAGTAGTTTATTTAGTTGTTTTTTTCGGTAAGTTGTTTTTAGCTTTATTTTGATATAAACAAGATGAAATCATGATAATGTAGAGTGTTCATAATATGTTGTAATTACCTGTTGTAGTTCCTTTCAAGATTAATTCCTTCCAGATATATATATATATATATATATATATATAAGTGTTAGTATAAAGAATTTGAACGTATATTCCAAGAGATGGATAAATGGGCATTGGACACTGGGATCTTCCTACTAAGTATTTTAAAGTTATTTTAATCACTATGATAACTGAAGGTTATGGATAACCTTCTTCAGTTTGGGCAACTGGGCAGTAAGTATCACAGTCCACAAACAAATCCAATGAGATTTGTGTAGCACATGTATATCTGGTGCCCCCTTGTACCAATATCAATGTGTTTAAATAAATAAGTCAAACAAGAAGGTTATGGATTTGATATTGTAGAAGATTCTGCATATTCAATCATGAATAGTTGATATCAAATCTTTTGCCTCACTGTATTTCACTTTCTATTGATGATACATACTACTTATATCTATTAATATCAGTAGCGCACACCATACTATATGTACATTCTCAAGTTAGGATACGCTACAGTACTGTGGATTGATTGATGTTAGATATTTACACCATCGAATGTTGCTTCTGTGGTGTAAAGTTAAAGCGTTGACGTGCAAGACTGAAGGTCCTGGATTTGAGTGTTGTGTACGAGATCCTGAACGTGCACTCCTGAAGTCACCAACTTCTTATCTTCTCCATGTTAGTAGGCCCAGACTATCATAACCAATAGTTGGAGACTCTGTGTGACATGGCTCAGAATCGATCACAATGGTGTAGGTGTATACACTATCTGTCTTTTCTTAAACTGCGAGATTAAAATTGCTTTATATCTCTTTTCCTGTACTATATTCTTATATACAATCTTTCTTTTATATATTACTAACATTAAATTAACTACTTCTATGAATTTGATGTTCATCTTTTTGTGATAATGAGGTATAGCAACTTAGACCGATGAATACATGGGCCTGGTCCTAGGTTGTAGCTGACTGACTTCTGAAGAGTCCCATAATAAAACGAAACGACTATCCAGTGCTCCCAGATTTTTAATGGTGATCTAACATTGATCAATTCATGATCTCATTCAAAAGCTCAACAACCTCCACAATCCTATACTGATAAATAATTATAGTCAATGACTTTTTTTAATAACTAAAGATAAGGAAAAATCTAGAAAGAAAGTAATTACTTCTTTCGTAAATTAGTGAATTATCAACACCCCCCCCCAACTCACCATCTTATTCTTCAATTCATATCATGATTGAAAAGTTACACTACGACTTTAGTGAACAGAACACGACTAGGGACAATCGAATGTATTTAGGCAAACATTACAGACTATCTTAGTTGATTGTGATAACCATACAATGGACAGTTAATTTGCAAATTAACAACCAATAGACTCGTTCTTCACTGTTTATTCTTTAATTCCATTGCTCATGTATTTTCCAAACGATTGCGCTTCATTTCAGTTCTTTCCTTATTGATCTTCTGTCAAAATACATTCTATGTCTGACCCACAACATATACTACTTATATGGATATAAGTAGACCACACCACACTACTACTATTACACTACATACTACTTAAATACTGATGAAATTGTAAATAAACACAAGATTTTAGATCTTGTATCTTTCTTATTCCACAACTTTAGGTGTATATATACATAATGTAAACACTATAAAGAACATCAAAATCCACTTTCCTATTGTATTCATTAAAAACAATTCCTAGTTTTCTATATACAAATATACATAAGGATGAATAGGAAGGGAGAGTGTGTATGTGTGTGTGTGTGTGTGAGAGATAGAGAGAGAGCAATTCATTTCCTCCGGATCTAATATAATATTGTTAGTAGCATGAATATAAGTAGTAATATCAGTAGTATTAGTAGTAGTAGTAGTAACATTAGTACAATTAATTTCCTTTGTTTTATCTTTATACAATAGAGAAAATTAATATTTAGATAAGGATATATAGATAAATTTCTATTGACCAATCATGTAAATCATTATGATTAAGTAGCAGAATGGAGGGAGGTTAATTAAAATTCTTTTAAAAGAATGAACCTATTATTACCTGAATTACTATTGTTCTGTTACTATAGTAACGAAGTATCTATTATTATTATTATTATTAGTAGTAGTAGTAGTAGTAGTAGTAGTAGTAATAGTAGTAGTAGTAGTAGTAGTAGTAGTAGTAGTAGTAGTAGTAATAGTGGTAGTAGTAATAGTAGTATTAGTAGTATTAGTAGTATGAGTCGTATCTACTTTGACAATTGTATGTTAGTGTACTGTATTAAACTACAATTAATAATTAGAATTCAGGTAGATATGTAGATAAATAGATAGTTCAAGAAACAATGAAGAAAAGTTTTTTAGAATGAAAACCTATATTACACTTTATTAATGTGATGGGTAGTATCCTATTTCCTTCGCTCATTTACATACATTAGCTTCTTCATTCACCTTAACTGATAGACTGGATTATTAGCATAGCATCATAGTTGTTTTGTGAACAGCTATTTATCATTGTTTATTTAAACACGTAAATATTGGTACAAGGAAGCACCAGATATATATGCGGCACACAAATCTCATTTGATTTGTGTGAGGACTGTGATACTGTCCAAGTGCTCAAACAGCAGCAGGTGGTTTTCCCAGGGGGCCACACTTGGAGTCTTCGACCCAAAAGTCTGATCCACAAGGCAGTAGAGCATCGTAAGGAGATGCAAACCCATTGTAGCCGGTGACCAACGATTTATTCATACGCCATTAGTTCCTTCAGGATTCTGGAGCCAGCCCCTGTGCACCATTGGTTTGGAATCAGGGTTTTCCAACTCACCTAGGTGAACGCACCGTGTCCATCAACCCGGTAAAGCACCGGGCATTCGCTTTTCTTCCTCTCAATTTTGTAAACAACACCCCCGCCACGAGAAGGCAGTGAGTAGGACTTCCCTGTTAGAGGCTATATATTCGCTGGCCATGTGAGAGCATTTCGAGAGGGAGAGTGGACTCTCCCTATTCTCGGCCGTACCATGCCATTTGGGGGCTCCCCATTATTATTTTTTTAATGGTTGAATTCATGAGTCGATCTAAGCTAGATCACCATTGATAATCTGGAAGCATTGAATGACCGTTTTTTCCAGTACGGGACTCCTCAGTAGAGTGTATCCACGTTCATGCACCAAAGCCTACACGAACTGGTCAACGGATCCGAAGTATTTTGCGTAGACAACTGTTAATAAGCATTTGTATCTTCTGGATGATGGCTTTCGTAGATCTTCACTAAGAATACATAATACTCAACAGACAATACTTGTGAGATGTATGATCTCATACCAATGAAGCTGATTACATTTGAGTCAATAAGATTTTGAAAAATTAAGTACATCTTTAAGAAGGAATAATGAGATTTATTTATTTATTTACCTCTATATATATCTTGCTGATTACATTTCTTTATTCCTTAAAATGAATCGAATTTATACACTTCAATCAAGACCGAAGTTCAAGCATTTTTATCCTTAAGCTTTCATTATTGTAATCCGTTTTCAAACTGTTTTCTATGGGATTGAGACCTAATTGTTTCTTATCTATTTTACATATGATCTTTCCTTGATCCTTAGAATGAATTGAAATTTAAACTAAATAAATTGATGAAGGGATTCACTTTTGAACTCACTTACTGTTATTTGAGTTCTGGGTAGGCTGTTTCTGAAAATACTATGAGAGCTTCAGTGACTAAAAAAGAATACGGCAGTTATAATAGACGGCTCATGTTTAACTTTTAAATTATATCTCGAATTCAGTATTCATTTATAGAAAATTAAAAATTCTAATTATAAGTATGTATAGTTTCCTATCTGTACCAAGATAGAAAATGATGTATGTATATTTATACTACTAAAATACAAAAAGTAGGCAAAGAGATAAAACGAAATTATCGTAAGTGAAATGTAAATGCGTAGCGAATAATTTATTGAACTGTAGACTGATTAAAAGAACTCATTATTTATATACTCATCAATTTTTATATAATATTTAAACATATACAATAGGTTTCTCTTGCTCGACCCAGTTGTGAATCAATCAAAGGTGCAAATTTGTATATTTGTGGTCTACCAAAATTTATGACCGAATCTGATTTGGAAAAATTATTTCATCCTTGTGGAAAAATTATCACCTCAAGAATTCTTTTTGATAGTAATACTGGTAAGTATTCATATTGATTATTTTTCATTTATTGATACATTATTTCGTATTTAATAGTATGATCTAAAGTCTTACTGTAAGCAAAGATGGATAGTGGCTAGCAGTGGGATCCAGTCTGACACGCGTTTCGTCCTATTTGGAACTCGTCAACTGCATGTACCTTTATCGCAGAGTTGATGGTCACTCTGGGACTCGAACCCAGTACCTTTCGCCTCGAACGCCATCACAATATCCACTCGGCCTTTGAGTCCTGATAGCCATTTGCTTGTGCAAGTGACTTTGCTTACAATGTTTGTGAAATTAAGTCTATATCGAGGCAATACGCACAGTGTGCAGTCCTAAACATCAATGGGAAGATTCAAATAAACAATACTAAGTTAATTCAAAGTCTTACTGATTTCAATAAACAAATAAGAATCTTCAATGGTATATTAATGAAACAAAAATCAAACAAACATGGAAATCTGAAGGTTACTAACCATAGTTAGTTGTAAAACTATTGATTTTATGATTTGTATTAAGTATTAGTCTCATCAATCATTTCATTTAGATTTTAAGTCATAAGACATAAATCTACAGCAGTAAAATTGTATAAAAGAACAACAGTAATCTGTAATATTTGATTAAAACAACAAGTCAAAAATCTGGAACCACTGGACGGCCGTTTCATCCTATTGTGGGACTCCTCAACAGTGCGCATCCACGATAACACCTCGCGAGTTTCGAACCCAAGATGCCAGCTCAGTGGTCCAGTGGTTAAGCACTTGCGAGCGGGACTGATAGATCCTGGGTGATCGTGGATATGCACTGCTTAGGGATCCCACAATAGAATAAAATGACCGTTCAGTGCTTCAAGGTTTTCCATGGTAGTCTAGCTTCAATTGACTCATTATCTCAACTCTATAAAATTATTAAAATCTCTACAAAACCCCCTATTGATAAACCGTAAATCATTTACATTTATTACTTTTCTAACTTTTTAGGTCAATCTAAAGGTGTTGGTTTTATACGTTTTGATCAACGTCATGAAGCTGAATTAGCTATACAACAATTTAATGGTTATCGTATTGGTTCAATGGCAGATAGTCCATTAATAGTAAAATTTGCTAATATTCCAACATCAAATAAAAATAGTCTAACTAATATTGTTAATCCTATGATTACATCATCAACACCTATCCATAATAATAGTAATAATAATAATAATAATGGAAATATTGATTATCAAAATCAAACTATGACAACATTATCCTCTTTAATTAATTTAAATAAATTAGCTATGAAAGCGAATGAATTACAATCCATGATAACTCCGGAACTTTTAAATAATAATGATTCAACTTATGATTTATTTAATACTACAACTATACCACAAATAATTACAGATTCAGGTAATGGAAAGAATACACAAAGAATAGGTGGACCTATTCATCCAACTGCTATACACAAACTACGGTAAGTTATACTTGTTCATAATCACTTTAACTCTGGTCTATGACGGATTAGTAACCAATGGTATACTATCTACTCTTTATTGATAAATTCAGTTAATCGATTAAGTTATTAATTAGATCTATTAATCGAGTGCCATTAAGTGTGTTGACATTTCTATCACCAGTCCTTGATTTGTGAGACCGGAGTGACAAACCACTCTGTGGTTAGATGAAGATCGGAATAATCACCAACCCTGTCTAAACCTTGATTATATGAGGATAAAGATCAACTTGAATTGGGAGTATGATTGAGGCATTGGAGAAAACTTCTTTTTAATAACTGAACAAACTAGTCTGATAAAATACATAAGGTCTGATAGGGGAGGGTTGGAGCATAGGCCACAAGCTGTGCCACAGCCAGTGCACAGTGGTCGACACTTAACCGGCTTGTGGTAAGAACATGAAGTGAACACATCATATACGATGACTTATTTAAATACTGGTTTGAATACTTAACATTCATTCTGTGAAAATGCTGCTGGGATCAGGGGCCTGAGGCCTATGTATCTATACCTATGTGTATTACTTACTTACACCTGTTACTCTCAATGGAGCATAGACCGCCGACCAGCATTCTCCAACCCACTCTGTCCTGGACCTTCCTTTCTAGTTCTACCCAGTTTTTGTTCATTCTTCTCATGTCTGTCTCCATTTCTCGGAGTAATGTGTTCTTTGGTCTTCCTCTTCTCCTTTGACCTTCAGGATTCCATGTGAGGGATTAACTTGTGACGCAGTTGGTTGCTTTCACCAATGTGTGTTCTATCCACTTCCATCGCTTCTTCTTGATTTCATCCTCCACTGAAATCTGGTTTGTTGTATTACACTTTGGGTTGTTTCTGATAGTGTCTGTCCAACGGATCCGTAGTATCTTGCGTAGACAACTGTTAATAAACTCCTGTATCTTCTGGATGACGGCTTTCGTAGTTTTCAACGTCTTCGCCCCATACAATAGAACTGTCTTGACATTTGTATTGAAAATTCTGATGTTGGTGTTGGTTGACAATTGTTTTGAGCTCCATATGTTTTTCAGTTTAAAGTATGCTGCTCTTGCTTTTTCGATCCTCGCCCTCACATCTATATCAGATCCACCGTGTATACTACGGAGTAAATGGGCCTTAGCTTATGGATTGTATATATGCACATATCGTATACTTACAAGCCGAAACTTCTATGCCTACATGTATTTGTGGGGGGTGTGAACTTGCCTACGCTTCCTGTTATCACTTGTACGGCATAATAGCAACCGTGCTCATCTATCCCAATATGTATGTCACTGGGATGTAAATATCTCTGTTATTTGTATTTAAATATATGCATATGAAGCATACTTGATGATAGTTTCCACGTTTCTTCACTAGTGAACTCATTAGTAGCTCATCAGCGCTTTTGATTTACATGAAAGCTTCCGAAAGTAATAAGAAAAGAGTAATGTGGGCCAATAAGAATACGTCTGAACTACATAGTGTGGGTCAGGTAAATCACCCATACTAATGATATCACAATCTTTATATATGCATATTCTCCAGTATCCAATAGCATTGTCTTTTCAAAGCTGTTCTCTATCCGAAGAGCCACGGGGCTTCTCAACTTTATTGGGCGGGTAACTGGAACTAAACACTTTCCTGAAGTTTATATATTATCGTATATGCTACTTATGTCAACAACTATGAGTAGTATGTTATACTAATTGGAAGAATAGAACCTAGCAGCAAAAGGCTGTCAAAGTCAACTTGAAAAAAAAGTACAGAAACGGAATTAGAAAGAAATTGTGAATCGAAGGAATCATACAGAGTGTAAAGGACAAATGATGGAAATTTGTAAATGAAGTGCTCAAGGGATGGTTCTCAAATTTTATCAAGAAATCCTGTAATTTAACGTTAAAGTACAATAAGTCATCGCAACTGAGTGTTCGTTCGCAACAATACCGCTACATAGCGTGATTTTATCTGTTTTATCTTCCCTTTAAACTAATTCTCCCATCAAGTTTTGATATCCTACTTCTAACCATCATATTATGAATTTGGACTTCACTCTACTGAATTTAAAGAGGCTAATTAGTACTGTAATGAACGAAAGCACAGGTAGCGACGACAAAGCCATTTGATTGGTTTTACATACTACTTATATCTATCGACATAAACCACTGTACATTTAAACCTTAAACAACATGCATACATTTTACCCTATTTTACAAGTATATAAATAGTTAGAGAGTTGTTAATGGATGATGTATTGCGATGTCTTTTAATTTCATTATTATAATAATGTTCATTAGCCAAATAGATTTGTAATATTAAATTACTTTTTTGGAAATTTTACTAAATCAGTTCATTGATATACTCAAACATATCATAATTTCCACTCTTGATCAAAATTACTTACTTACTTACTTACACCTGTTACCCCTCATGGAGGAGCATAGGTCACACACCAGCATTCTCCATCCAACCCTGTCCTGGGCAATCCTTTCCAGTTGGTTCCAATTGTTATTCATCCTTTTCATATCTGCTTTTATTTCCCGAAGTAGTATCTTCTTTGGCCTTCCTCTTTTCCGCTTCCCTTCAGGATTCCAAGTTAGGGATTACCTCGTGATGCAGTTTGTTGATTTTCACAATTTATGTATGATCCACTTCCAACGTCTTTTCCTAATTTCCTCTTCACCTGGAAGCTTGTTTGTCCTCTCCCATAAAAGGCTGTTGCTGATAGTATCCGGCCAGTGAATGTTGAGTATTTTGCGTAGACCGTTTCTCTTTCTCCTGGTGATCGACTGGATCATGAAGACGTCAACACCTGGAGGAATGCACGGGATACAGTGGACAGGCAGGATGCAACTTGACGATTTAGACTTCGCGAATGATCTGGCTCTTCTATCACAAACGCAACAACAAATGCAGGAGAAAACGACCAGTGTAGCAGCAGCCTCAGCAGCAGTAGGTCTCAATATAAACAAAGGGAAAGGCAAGACTCTCAGATACAATACAACATGCACTAACCAAATCACACTTGACGGAGAAGCTTTGGAGGATGTAAAAATCTTTACATATATGGGCAGCATCATTGGTGAACACGGTGGATCTGATATAGATGTGAGGGCGAGGATCGAAAAAGCAAGAGCAGCATACTTTAAACTGAAAAACATATGGAGCTCAAAACAATTGTCAACCAACACCAACATCAGAATTTTCAATACAAATGTCAAGACAGTTCTATTGTATGGGGCGAAGACGTTGAAAACTACGAAAGCCATCATCCAGAAGATACAGGAGTTTATTAACAGTTGTCTACGCAAGATACTAAGGATCCGTTGGACAGACACTATCAGAAACAACCCAAAGTGTAATACAACAAATCAGATTTCAGTGGAGGAAGAAATCAAGAAGAAGCGATGGAAGTGGATAGAACACACATTGGTGAAAGCAACCAACTGCCTCACAAGTTAAGCCCTCACATGGAATCCTGAAGGTCAAAGGAGAAGAGGAAGACCAAAGAACACATTACACCGAGAAATGGAGACAGACATGAGAAGAATGAACAACAACTGGATAGAACTAGAAAGGAAGGTCCAGGACAGAGTGGGTTGGAGAATGCTGGTCGGCGGTCTATGCTCCATTGAGAGTAACAGGCGAAAGTAAGTAAGTAAATAAATAATTGTTTATAAATACTTGTAACTTCCTGATGATGGTCGTAGTAATTCTCCACGTTTCAGCTCCGTACAGTGGGACTGTCTTGACGTTCGTATTGAAGATTCTGACCTTGAAATTAGTTGACAGTTGTTTTGAGTTTCCTTAGTTCTTCAATTGTAGAAATGCTGCCCTTGCTTTTCCAATCCTCGCCTTTACATCTGCATCCAATCCTCCTTGTTTATCAACGATGCTCCCCAGGTACTTAAATGTTCTCACCTCTTCCAGAATTTCACCATCAAATGTGATTGAGTTGGTGTTCTCCGTGTTGCATTTCAGAATCTTGCTTTTTCCTTTGTGAATGTGGAGGCCTATCGATTCGTAGGCTGCTGATACATTTGCTGTCTTCTTCTGTATTTGTTCATGTGTATGAGATAGGAGGGCTAGGTTATCTACCAATTCCAAACCATCCAATGGATTCTGAGTTATCCCTTGATCAAAATGATCTATTCATATTCTTATTATAAACAATTATTGGTACTGAACCAATCAGTAGGATAGATTTTCATGGTTATTTGTTTGTTTACTTTTATTAAAACCCTTCTCTTTATTTTAAGTACTTAAAGTAATAATACTAATTTTATTCATTACAGATTTAATCCATTAGATGGTTGTGCTATACCATTACGTATTAATCCATTTGATAGTATCAATCATAATTCAATAAATAATTTAACATCATCACCGGCTTCAGCTAATGGATTACGTTTAATAGGAAAAAATGTTAACAATAGTAATAATATGAATGCTGCAATCTCATTAGCTGCAGCTTTAGCAGCAGTTAGAGCAACAACAACAACAACGACGACGACGCCAACAGGAACAACAACACTAACAAATAACCAACCAGATCCTTTACAAACACAATTATTAACACAATTAAATGGGATACCACAACAATTACCAGGAGTTATAGGGTAATTAATAAATTATTAACTTTATAATGAATTCAATTTTAGTGATATAGTTTATTTTTAGAATTATTTGATTAATTTCAATAGTTGAGATCATGAATGAATTGAAGCTAGACCACCATGGAAAATATGGAAGTATTGGACAGCTGTCTCGTCCTAGTATGAGACTCCTGAACAGTGTGTATCCACGACACCACCCGCAGGATCCGAACCAAGAACTTATCTGTCTCGCGCACGAACATTTAACCTCCAAACCACTGAGCTGACATCCAACGGTGTTTATCATGTCTAACTTCAACGGATTCTCAAAATTGAGAGACATATCCACTATTGTCTTCAGTGAGTTACTTTCTCACAACGGACCCGGTTGAATTCCACTAGAATTCCAGGAAATACCTTTTGAAGCCAGTCATTTCATAGATTGAAATTTAATAAACAACCAATGATAATACACTTCATTGATGAATCTCCAACATTTTTACAAAAGAAATGTGAATATAATAGAAGGGAATCATAGTTAGCTAGTCTCGAGGCACGAGCTATGAAATATATCATATTGTATTGAACTAGAACACAGGTTAAGACAACCAATTATATTTGGCACAGAGTCACTTTGTGAAATAGAAAACTCATACTCCAATACTTCATTTGCAAAATGTTCATTAATTGTTTCAGACTTCATTATTCCTGCATTTCTATACCAATTACTTTCTGTTCCTATTCTTGCCTCTTCGATCTTTTCAACCTTCTACTGTCAGGCATTCTATTTCCTGATTGGAGTTATATACTACCTACACCGCCACAATGTATATTTGTTCTAATAAAATTGATTTTTCATATTTCAAAAAGATAAAAAAAGAACGTCAATAAACATTTCCGTAAACATAAGAAGGGACATTTTTATTAGGATCATTCCGCTTTTTCTTTATTGTTGAATAGATATGCATCATTCCCCGACGTAATTTATCGGATAGACTATATAAGAACAGAAAATGTATATACATGTAATGCTTTCAATGAAACTTATTCACAGGATTAGTCTGTTTTTGTTTCATTCACAAATACGGTCATGAAATATGAATCCTAAAAATTAAGACTGAGATGATCTTGGAAACAATTAGATTGTATGAGCATAGTTAAACTGATGGTTGGCTTATTTGTTTAATAACATGTATCTTTGAAAATGAAGTTTTTGTTACGAGAAGGGGTTTTGTGGAGATTTCAGTATTTTGATAGTTGAAGTCATTAGTCAATTGAAGCTAGACCACCAGGGAAAACCTGGAAGCACTGCTTTAGAGCCGTTTCGTCTTATCACGAGACTCCTCAGCAGTGTGCATCCACGACCCCGCCTCGCGAGATTCCAAACCAGGACCTACCAGTCTTGCGCTAGAGTACTTAACCGATAGACAACTGAGCTGGCATCCAACGATGTTAATGTCTAACTTCAACCAATCAATTACCAATCAATATTTTGGGTTAGATACTCTTGGTAAATCCATGGTATAGATGTGTCATAGGACAACATAACATTTATTGAGACATGGTTCTTATAACGCAATGCAAAAATATGTATCAAATGAGTTGGATTCTTTGGATAAATAAAATTATATGATATATACACTTGGTGTTGTTTGCTTGTATCTTCCCATTGATGTTTAGCACTTTAACTGATCAATCTCTTGTTGACATATGTGCGGATTGCCTTGATATTGCATTAAGTCACAAGCTTTTTAAACAAAGATGAATAGTGGATAGTAGTGGAATTCAGCATGAGTGTTTCGTTCTATTCGGTACTCGTCAGTTGTATGTTCTTGCATCCCAGAGTTGATGTTCATATACATCTTGGCAAATGAATTTGAAGTTTATCCAACATTTCGCTCAGTAATCTGTTCCAAGCTATTTCAAGGAATCACAATCAAAATATCAAAATTATCGAATAAAATAAGTACATGGTGTTATGACTCGTAAGTTGAACGCTTTATTCGGATCCTAGCTATTCGGATAACCCCAGGCTAGCACTACTCAGCGACTTGGAAGACCAGAGAGAAGACACGAGTATCAGAGAAGCACTTTACTGCAAGGTTCAATTATGTACAGAAAAACAGGGGTTTTATAGTAGCTAAAAGACCTTGAGATCCCATAGTAACAGTATGTTAACAGCCAATCAGGACCTTGTTATTTTAGTAGCATTTTAGTAGCATAGCTTCTAACTAATCGCTGATTGGTTGGTCTCTTTATGAGCCTCTCTGGAGGCTCTGATAGAGTTTATTGTAAGCCGATCTAACACATGGTTCTCTACTTAACTATATACAAAAGAAGGTCATCCAATCAAATAACAATCTAACAATTTTTTAAAGTCAACTAATCAATTTCATTAATAAAATAAGAACAAAGAATACAATTCTCTATTATGTTCATTATTTCAAAGTACATATATAATATATGAAACATTTTTTTAATAAACAAAGATGGATAGTGACTAGTAGTGAAATCCTGTTTGACGCGTTTCATCCTATTTCGAACTCGTCAGATGGATATACCTACATCTTAGAGATGTAGTTCATTCTAGGACTTGAACCCTGTACCCGTTCACTTCAAACGCTATCACGTTATTCACTCAACTACTTAATCCTGATAATCACTCAGCTTGTGCAATGGGATAAATTTTAAAATCACCTGATATTGTTTAATAATTCACTCAAATTTAATGTTTGTTCATTTGACTGTAAACAAAAAACAAACAAAAAATAAATTACGTAACCATTTTTTTTTGTTTTTAATTTTCAGTTTTACAATACCATGGTTAGGTACTAATATAGAAACAAATTTAAATCAATTAACCAATCATATTTATCATACAAATAATCCATTTATTGATTTATTGAATCAATCATCTAATCATAATAATAATAATAATAATAATAATAATAATAATAATGTCTTATCAAATATTTCATTGAATACAATACCATTAATGAATTATCCAGATTATAATAATAATAATAATACACAAATTGGATTACATGAGCAACAGAATCTTCATTTGATCCCTACCTTACATAATAATAATAATAATAATAATAATAATAATATTACTAATATTAGTAATAATAATGGTAATAGTAATAGTATGAATTCAACGAAACCATCTCTTCCAATTGTAGATCCATTAATGTTTAATTCATTCACATCAAATTTAGATATACATTCAGTAACAAATAGATTATTACAAGATATGACAACTCATTCAATCATTGCAAATCATGTAAATGGTACAACATTACCAACACCAACACTAACACCACCCTCGCTATCAGCACCGTCAACAACAACAACAACAAACATAGCAACAACGGGTATATCAAATAATGAATTATTTTCAATTAATCATTATTCTCCTAATACCATATTAAAAATTGAAGGTTTATCACCTGAAACAGATGAATCAATTATATTAAGATTAGTTTCTGCATTTTCAAGTGTATTATCTATACAATTATTACCTAATAATGAATTAAATAGTGAAAATAATAATAATGATAAACAAGAAATGAAAGCTTTAGTAGTGATGTCAGATTATGAACAAGCTAAATTAGCAATACATTATTTAAATGGGTGAGTTCTTCTTTCTTTTATATTTCCCTATTGATAATCATTTTTATTTTAAATTAGTCAGTTAATCTGTTGTTACCGAGTGGATGCCTAGTTAATGTATAACTTGATGAGACAGCCAATCAGAGAACAGCGAATTATCGATTGGAACAGTGACACACGAAAATCGTACGAGCATTCTGGAGCGCTAACCGATCCTAATATCTGCCTAGCCCAGTCAGTTAAGTCCAAAACACCAATAACAGCCTCTGTGATATGAATCATTATTCATAAACATACTAGGTTTATATACCAACCAAACAGACCACATCGTACTAGAAAATAGAAAATGACATTTGTACAATATTTAGCCAAATGTGGCTGTGAATAGGGGGGAAAGTAATCGATAAACTGATGATAACTCAAGAATCGTATAATAATAGTTCAAAGGTCAAAATAAAGCTTATAATAAGAGGGACACGAATATGATTAGGTTAGTTACTTAACAATTATTCAATAGGAAATATACATATTACATTGGTCCACAAATAGTCCTCAGAAGTTACCATTCACAGTTGTCTTCGGGATACAACACAATCATAATTAGTTTATGTTATAATTTGTTTTGCGGCGAAACTACAATTTATGGACGAGCCAATCAGAAGCGTTTGAGGGATTTCAAGATCACGGCGCCTATTTCAATACCTGATGCTCATGTACAATTGATTCACAGAGAATTTTAGAGAAGATTGACAATTAAGCGGCTACAACAAATGAAACTACTAAGAATTTGATGTATTTGTAATTACGAGTATTAAATTACTTGTAGACTTTGTGCAGACTACCGTGATGTTGCCCTTCAATGTAATATATGTTGAAGGAAGACGTTTGCTAGAATAAAAAACTTTATCGCTCGATCCAGATTGAGACTAAGGCATATTACAATAATTGCAGCCAACTGTATAATAAAAGCACCAGTATCATTGGATGCAATAATCGCAGATGTTACTGAAGCTTGGGCTGTGCAGTAGTATGAGTATTATAGGGATATATCCATAATAAAAATGATAAACTTACACAACCGCATTACAAACAAACAATAATGAAGCTATGTGGTCCTGGCTGAGGGGGTTTTTATGACCTTATCATGGCTCCAGAGACCAACTATTATGGAGCCATACGGATGAGTTTCTCTACCTTATGCATTACGATTTTAGAACCTTTGAACCTCTTTCTAACATTGACAAGCTTTTGGACCATATAAAAGAAGTGTATCCACTTTAATTATTTGGTTTTGTATAATATATTTTTATTCTATTCTGACTGTTTACTGATTGGCTAACATTTCTCAAGGTCACTTGAGATTCATTCAAAGGTCGTCCATAAATTGTAGTCTCACCTATTTTGCTAATATACAACCCAGCTAGTTATTCATTGCTAAGATCAATCAGAAAACACTACCAGTTTTTTTATAGGTCTTAAACAGACACTTGGGTTGATCTACGTTCTAGAGGTTCATTAGTCAATTCATCCATTAATTCCATTTTCAATAGCTGGTTTGAAAAAGGTAAATAATCCTATCTTCAATTCATAAGTCATAATTTTATTCTAATCGTCTACAGTGAAGTGCTCATTATCATGTATTAAATTACAAATTTTTAGGATTTTCTTATTCATTAAAACAACTACACCAAAACCTGTTCCCGGTCTCAATAGAACTACTTGTCTTTTATTTATTGGTTCACCTAAAGCAATTCCACATTATTTCCACAATGAATTTTTTAATGGCAATGATATGATACCATAGTGATGGAGACACAGATTAAAAATCTAGATGTTTCTTGTTATTGCATAGCAATTACTGATATCACCCTTCTCTAGATACAAGACGTAATCGGCCAATAAATGAGATTGTTTAGCGCTAACAATAATATTGCTACCCATTATGCTGTAGTGATCATTTGTAGGTGTTAAACAAAGGTAACAATGACAATAACATTTTCTATAGATAATTAATCAATGAAAAATACAATATTAATAGTTGAGGTTATCAGTCAATTGAAGCTAGACCACCATGGTAAACGTGGAAGCACTGGACAGCTGTTTTGTCCTATTGTAGGACTCCTCAGCAGTGCGCATCCACGATCCCGTACTCGCGAGATTTCAACCGACGACCTACCAATCTCGCGCCAGAGCGCTTAACAATAATTAAGCACAATGGAAATTATCGTCAAAGCACTTTGAAGATAAATTTGTTTCAGATTTTACGCTACTTAAAAATAATCAGTAATATATTTTGAAATGGGACTTGTGGACAAATGGCCAATGTTTCAAAAACATTTAATTCATGTGAAAATATGGTATGAATAAATTACAAGTAATAGATACATTTGTAAGCAAATAACAGTGTTCATCAATCAACAGTAGGTGAAAGTTAGGACACAAGTTAGATTGAACTAGAGTGATGGATGTTTAAATTACTATGAGATTGGTTATGTGTTTAGTTCTGGACATAGCTAGCACTTTTTTCCTGTTAAAATTAAAAAAAGAACCTGACTAATGCTGATTATCCCGTCGACCTAAAAGTGTAACTGAAGAACCCATGGTACAATTCCTTGACATTAGTTACAACTTTTAAGTAGGTAGTTTGCAAAATGATGCATTGTCTTTAAGATTTCGAAGAACATCTGTGTTCAGCCATTCTGACTGTGCGAACATAACATCATTGCAATGAATATTTTTCCGTAGGAAACTCAGATGCTAACATAAAACTAGAATTCTGATGCATTTTGGTCTCACTTAACTGTATCTCACCTGTTTTTAGAAAACTAGTATTCCAGCCAGTATAACAAAACGCATCACTACCTTTATGCAGACATTGCAGGTAAATGACACCAAGGTATGCAATTATGAAGCTATCAATGTAAATCAACAATTTTTAGATGGCAGATGAACTACAAACCGTCATACTAACCACTAATGAATAAGTCAGTTTCCTTTTTAAGATATCTTGGTATGTTTCAGTTTATGTAAAAAGTGAATACAAGTAAGTCCATATCAATGTCAAGAAATAGCGCTGAAATAAATTTTTAAAAAAAAGATGTACATTGAGAACGATCGGTAGGTACTATTTACAATGCAATTAAATAAATAAATAAACAGTAAATAATAGAATTAGATAGTAAAAATCTAGTAGAATATAACAAGCCGTATCCAGCCATACAATCCAGTAAACTGTAAGTTGAATGAGACAAAAGCATCTAAAACACCAAGCGTTAACTGAAGAAAAACAAAATATATTCATAATGAATACTGAATGATAGCGAAAAGATGAGATAAAGTCTACACTAAAGTAAATGTTTCACTGAATGAGTACATTTGAAAGCCATTTACATATCATTATAGAAGAAAAATGTTTCGTTTTCTTTCAAAGTTGAAATATACTTCATGAAGTATTAACTAATGTAGTATGGATAAAGGATAAGAAATCAATTCACGACCCAATGACAACATGATTCACTAAATATTTGCTTAATATATGATACATTTAAAACATTCGATTATCACTTTCTAAATAAGTAACGAGGAAGATAATATACAATATTAAATCTACCATAATATACAATTAAGACCACACAAAACCTCTTAATTTACATACTACTGTTACGAAACTATGTCTGTTTACTTTCAACTTAATTTTAAACTAGTGATTAGCATGTGAACTTCAGTGAGAAATAAGTCAGCTTTGAGTATTCAAAGCAATAATAGATGAGACTATAATTCATGGATGAACCAATCAGATGTGAGATAACTTCTAGACCACTGAGCCGGCCAGCATCCAGCGGTGTTAATGTCTAACTTCAACCAATCCACGAAGTTGAGCAACCATTCATCAATTGTCTTCAGTAAGTTGATATCTCACAACAGACCTGGTTGAACTCCACTGGTCAGTGCTTCTCACCAGAACTCCAGAAAATATTTCTTGAAGTCAGTCACTAGTGAGCATATGATAAATATCAGACGGGGTTTTGTGGAGATTTTAGTAATGTTATAAAGTTGAAATCATGAGTTAATTGAAGCTAGACCACCATGGAAAACCTGGAAGCACTGGACAACCGTTTCGTCCTATTGTGGGACTCCTCAGAAGTGAGCATCTACGATCCCGCCTCGCAAGATTCAAACCCAGGACCTATCAGTCCCAGTAGTTTAGTGGTTAAGCGCTCAGATGCGAGACTGATGGGTCCTGGGTTTAAATCTCGTGAGGTGGGACCGTGGATGCGCACTGCTGAGAAGTCCCACGCCAGGACGAAACAGCCTTAAAGCAGTGCTTCCAGGTTTTCCATGGTGATCTAGCTTCAATTAACTCATGATTTCAACTATGAAAAATACTGCAATCTTTACCAAACCTCTTCTGATAACATTATTTATTTATTATTTATTTAAACACATAAATATTGGTACAAGAAAGCACCAGATAAATATGCGCCTCACAAATCTCATTTGATTTGTGTGAGGGCTGAGATACTGCCCAGGTGCCCAGACTGAAGCAGGTGGTTTTCTAAGGGGGCCACACCCGGAGCCTTTGACCTGAATGTCTGATCCACAAGGCAGTAGAGCATCGTGAGGAGATGCAGTCCCATTGTAGCCGGTGATCAACGGTTGATTCGTACGACATTTGTTCCCTCAGGATACTGGAGCCCATGTGCACTATTGGTTTGGAATCAGGGTTTTCTAACTCAACTAGGTGAACTTTCCATGTCCATCAACCCGGTTAAAGCGCCGGACATTCGCTTTCCGTAAACAACAGTAATGCCACGAGAAGGCAGTGAGTAGGACTTCCCTGGCAGAGGCTATATATTCGCTGGACATATGAGAGCATTTGGAGAAGGAGAGCGTACTCTCCCCACTCTCGGCCGTACCAGGGCATTTGGGGCAACAACATAATATTTTGTAGCATTATATTATTATTTTGTAACATTATACTTAATCAAATCTAATCCAACAATAATAATAATAATTACTACTACTACTACAAAACTAATATAAACAACTTTCTAATTCAATTTCAGATGTACACTTCAAAATCGTGTATTGAAAGTATCAAAATGTGAAAATATAAATCAATCAACTCATTATAATTTTACTGAATTTCTACAACCAACTAATACCATTCTATTATAAGCACGTTTGTCGAATCCAAAAAAAGAAAACGAAAAAGAAGAAAAAAAAAAGAAAAAAGGAAAAGAAGATCAATCAAACTAACTGATTCAATATGCACACACACACACACAAAAAAAAGGACTTTGTATTATTCATAAACTCTTCTTTTTTTTATTCAAATGAACATTACTGATTTTTATAGAAGTTCTTTTTCTTTTGTCAAAGATCCTATCAACATCTTGAATAGAAATTCAATCTAGAAAAGGAATCTTTACAAATATATATTGATATTCATTTGATAAGATTTTGTACAAAGTTGCTTTTTAAAAAAATATATATATAATCTTTGAATTAATGTATATCTTAGTGAACTTTAAAAATCCTCTGAAGAAGTGGATTTAACTGAGTTATGAAAGGTTAGAAAATCTAATTTTTTTCTACTCATTGTGATATTATAATTATATTTATTTATTTATTTATAACAAAAGGGGTTCTGTGGAGATTTAGTATTTTCATAGTTGAAAGCGTGAGTCAATTGAAGCTAGGTCACTATGGAAAACCTGGAGCACTGGACAGCCGTTTCTTTACATTGTGGGACACCTTAGCAGTGCGCATTCACGACTTCACCTCACGAAATTCGAACCCAGGATCTACCAGTCTCGCGACAGAACACTTAACCGATTTATAACAATCTATCCAATGCTCAATTTATTCGAAATTATTAAATCAAAACTTGGTAATCATACCTACAAGCTATAATCAGTTCGAATATGGTAGGTTGAATAAACAAGCTTAAGCGCTATACATTTTATTCTAGTAAATTGTGTGCGATGTAAAACTGTCCGCTTTATTTATTTAAACACATAAATATTGTTACAAAGGGGCACCGAATACATATGCACCACACAAGTCACTTGATTTGTGTATGGGCTGTGATACTGCCCGGATGCCGAAACCGAAGCAGGTGGTATTCTTGGGGGGCCACACCTGAAGCTTTCGACCTAAAGGTCTAATCCACAAGGCAGTGGAGCAACGTCAGGGGATGCAGTCCCATTGTAGCCGGTGACCGATAATTGGTTCATACATCATTTGTTCCTTCAGGATCCTGGGACCCATGTGCACTATTGGTTTAGAATCAGGGTTTTCCAACTTACCTAGGTGGACTATCCGCGTCCACCAACCCGGTCGAAGCGCCGGACGTTCGCTTTTCGTCCTCTCAATTTTGTAAACAACATCCCCGCCAGGTGAAGGCAGTGAGTAGGACTTCCCTGTTAGAGGCTATATACGCGTGGCCATGTGAGCGCATTTCGAGAGGGAGAGAGTACTCTCCCCACTCTCGACCGTACCAGGGCATGTGGGGGGGAATTAATATTACACATAAATATCTTTGTTGGTATGAACAACTATGTAATTTTTCAGACAAACGCTAATGTATTTTCCCACCTCTTAGCTTGATATCATTACGAAACCTAGTCCGGTAGTTTATGACAACTGAGCATTGTTATATTGAAAGAGAATAGTATAAAGCTTATTATGAATTAAAGTACCATAGATAGGATCTTTATACAGAATTTTAAACGTTTACGTAACGATGCGAATTACTTACTTACGCTTGTTACCCCTCGTGCAGCATAGGCCGCTGAATACATACATGATAATCCCATGTTAATAATAACAACTGTGTGAAGTGCTCCTAATATGCTCCACCTGTTCGTATAATTAACATTGAATAAGACCGTGTGACAGGACCCTGATTATCACGAACATCAACAACCGACTGAATAATAGTTCATTACGTTTCGCTGAAGAGCACAAATGACAATGAAATGAAGATTTGTAGCTTAGGTAGATGATTTTGGTGGACTTTTTTTCTCTGACCAAACTATACAGCTCAGAGAACAACAAATGACAATGTTTTCAGCAATGCATTTAATGAAGAATGCCTAATATGACTTCTTAATTCTCAAATCAAGTCTTGATCTGTTGGGAATCCAGCACACACAACCATCCCAACGACTCGAAATAGATGTATAAGATAACATCACTAGGATAATAACAAGTTGAACATGGAGTTGATTAGATCAACTCCGTCTTCTCATTGCTCTATCGAAATTTATAAAAGGGACTAACTGCTTTAATAATTTGTTACCAAATTCGAGAAATTACAGTATTTGTTTAAAGTAGACTCATCATACGCTCAGGAAAATGCATTTTCGATTGATCTTAAGGGCAGAGGGTAAACCGAACATATTTCACATCGCTAAAAAAGTTATCTCCCCTTTTATTGATCACCTTTATTAATATGCGCCCTTTTGAACAAATACCAGAACTGACCGAACAAACCAAATTGATGACAAATACTATGCTTCCTGAATCCACCACGAATAATCGTCAAAACTGGAGAAATTTATTACATAATTAAATATAACCCTATCGATAACAATCAACTATGTATATTGGTGAGACTATAATTTATGGGCGACCTTAGAGTGACACTAATAGAGCCTAAAGAGGGTTATAAATTAATCTGATAAATCAGAATCGGGACACAGAATTAGAGTTAGGGTTTTTATTACAAATTGACATCAAATATGATGCCAAAATGCTAATTAACCATATGGATGAATAAATTTTGCATCGAAATCCAAGATTTGCTATTTAAAATCTCATTGGTTCACTCGTAAACTATAGTCATAACTATCTAACTTTAATTGGTTAGAAAACATCTCCGAGTAATTTTCGTAGTAAACAAAACATTCACGGGAAAATACAGTTTTATAAAACCCCTTTATTTGAAACGTTTATAATACTAGTAATTTGATGTATTACCGGAGCACATTACTGCATGTTTATTTGAAAACAGCAATTCATCTCTATACGAACTTCACTATATTCATGATTTTGTTACACAAAACAAAATGAAATGAAGAACAAACTAATTTTTTCCAAGCATAATAATAGTAATTGGTAATTATATATTACATATTAGCTTGTGGTGACACTAGCAATATCATTCCCCCCCTCTTCAAAAAACTTTCTGGAATAATTTTCATATGGGATTGAAAATGAAAGCCAAAGGGGAAAATAGGGAATATACAATAAATAGCTTAATATGTTTTTACATATACACATTAAGAAAGTTTGCATTGATTCGAAGAGGGAGAATATATATATAGTTTCAAACAGCATCATGTGAAAATAAGCGAAAAACAACTAATGTCATTTACACAATTGCGATTAACAACAAAGAAGTTTGACTTTGTTCCGATTAAAACGCTAGTCTTTTAGTGCTTACAAAAGCACACACAAGTGCAAGCACAATAACTCTAATGAAAAAAAATACTGTCCAGTTTATTTTTCATCTGATAAAACAATAAGAATATAATTACATCATTACAAACAAAGAAAATTATGGACGACGAGAGCGTCTGCTTGAAAGTGGTCGACGTCGAGGCGCATTTGGAGCATTAGATGAAGGACTGGTTAAAGATGTACCAAAGGTGAATGGATTGGAATTAGCAACGCCAGTACTTAATGGTGTTTGACCAAAAACAAAACAAGCATTTGTTTGAGGAGTAATTACACTTGGTGTAGATGTTTGGGGTAGAGAGAAATTAAAGCCACTAAAATTAGTTGGGGGATTAATATTAGAAAATACGGGAGTTGAAGAGAATTGAAAAGAGTTAGTGGTAGTAGTTATGGAACCCGAATTAAGCGAGGAAAATGACAAAGTTGGTAGGGTGCTCGGTTGTGAACATGCAGATGTGAAGTTTTGGCCAAACGAAAATTGAGGCACTGATGAACCAAAAGAGAGTGGTTGAGAAACGGAAGTTGCAGATGGCTTTGAATTAGAACTGAAACTACCGAACTGAAACAGTGTACTAGCAGGCATTACAGAAGTTGCAGTTGTAGTCACAATTGTCGTACTAAACGACAATCCACTGGTGGCTACATTAGATGCGGTGCTAGAAGTTAACTGATTAAAATTGAATTTTAAAGATGATGATGTATTAGGAGTTTCGAAAATCGAATTACTAGTTCCAAATAAAGATGTAGTTTTAGCAGGAGTCACATTAGCTGGTTTAATTCCAAGAGTGAAGGAGTTTGTTGAAAATGTTGTAGACACTGGATTAAGTAATGGGTTAATCGTAGTTGAACTGAAACCAGATAAAGACGTGTTCGTGGGAAGTGATACAGTTTTGGAGCTGATGTTAACGGGATTTGATCCAAATAATGACACGCCAGAAGTACTAGCAATTGGGGATGTAAAGGTAAACAAACCAGCATTATTAACTACAGTATTTAGTGATGACGTGGTACCCGTTGTCTGACCAAAAGCACCGCTTGAAATGGTTGATGAAGGTTTAGACAGATTTGCACCAAAGACAAAACTACTTGACACAGTTCCAGAGTTGGGAACTGATCCCAGAAATGATGGCATAGAAGTTGATCCAAAACTAACGAGTGAGACTGAGGTAAGTGAAGATGTAGTCACTGCCGACGCTCCAAATGTAAAAATGGAAGCCGTAGAAATTGGCTGAGAATTACTTGAACCAAAAGTAAACGGTGTGCTACTATCAGACTGGACTGTATTTTTAGCTACTGATGATGGATTACTAGTGGGAGCACTAGCCGACGATGTAATAGCTGGTTTCGGGAAAGAAAACCCACTGAATGTAGAAATAGGCTTCATAGATTCAAAAACACTTGAAGTAAGATTTGCTGTCGATGGTGCGTTTGAACCTAGAGAATGAATATGAATGAAAATAAATGAAATTTCGCATCCAAATCCTGTTCAAAAAAAGATACAATTCTACTTAAAAGCAATAAGTCAAGCAAATCCAAACTAGTGACACCAATATCAGGGACAAAATTATGGATTCTACCCAAATGCCTTGGTACGGCCAAGAGTAGGGAGAGTCCCCTCTCCCTCTCCAAATGCTCTCACATGGCCAAGTGTATATAGCCTCTAACAGGGAAGTCCTACTCACTGCCTTCACCTGGCGGGGATGTTGTTTACAAAGTTGAGAGGACGAAAAGCGAACGTCCGGCGCTTCGACCGGGTTGGTGGACGCGGATAGTCCACCTAGGTGAGTTGGAAAACCCTGATTCTAAACCAATAGTGCACATGGGTCCCAGGATCCTGAAGGAACAAATGATGTATGAACCAATTATCGGTCACAAAAGTATGTGTAGCTGATAAATGAGATATGTTGAAAAGCAAAAAGGGTCGATTGCCTTTAATGAAAATAATTTTAAGGGGGATTCAATTACTACGACATCAACACACAGGTAGATGAAACCGCTCCCATCAAATGCAATAGATGAGTGTAGTTTGGGAATGTTTGTATGTTTAAATTTCACGTATTTCTGCTAAATATATAAAACGGATACCCGTTAAATTTAATAAATCAATGAAAACATTAAGTTGTCTCATCACTCAATTCTTGCCTAAGAAGAGTTCATATTACTCCCACATATAAAGGGAAACTAAATAATATAATATTGATAAGAATGCTTGGATAAGTTATCAATGAAACATAATATGTAGCTAGACTTATGGTGGTTGCAAAAAACGAAACCTATACTTCAATACGGGTTTTAACAATGATTACGTCACACCTCATTATTTATAAGCCTTAATATATACATGAACACATATAGAGAATAAATCAGAATATGAATTCAGCTAGCCAGTTAATCATAACCAACGTACAGCTTGCTAACATATTAATTTAATGGTTGGATAACATGCTTCGGTTTGGGCGCCAGGGCAATACTTCAGCCCCCACACAAATCGAATGACGAAGTGTGGCGCATATATATTTGGTGCCTCCTTGTACTAATGTTTGTGTTTAAATAAAACAAATAATAATAAGGTGGATAGCATGTATTTTAGTAGCTTTACAAACTAAATTCTAAATTTTCGATTAACACAAATTGCGGGTAGCTATTTTCATTTATAATCAAATACAATGAAAGGATAGAAGTGATAATGCATAGCTTTAAACTTCTTACATAGAAACCTCTAGTGAAGACTTTAACCATCGTAAGGTTAGGCTCTCCATAAGTGTTTAAAATTAGAACTTTTAGTAATCGATCGTATCATAATCCATCACTCTGATGGTCATCCAAGCAATCCATCATATTTTATAAATAAACGGATTAATTTAGTTAAATTGTATCATTGGAGAAGTTCAGAGGGCATTTGGGGAAATAACAGCTTCATAGTGTTTTAAAATGGTTTTCCCATGTACATACATAGATTCAACTTTGGTTGTATGTATTAAACAACGGATAACAACGTAAACAATGGCCATATTGTTACTTCCCCCAAATGCCCTGGTACGGCCAAGAGTGGGGAGGGGCCACCCTCTCTTTCGAAATGCTCTCACATAGCCACGCGTATATAGCCTCTAACAGGGAAGTCCTACTCACTGCCTTTTCGTGGAGGGGGTGTCGTTTACGAAAGTGAGAGGACGAAAGGCGAACGTCCGGCGCTTTAACCGGGTTGGTGGACGCGGGTAGTCCACCTAGGTGAGTTGGAAAACCCTGATTCCAAACCAATGGTGTTTAAATAAATAAATATTGTTACTAAAAAACTTCGGATAAGATAATTGCATTCAAGAACTTACTAGTCGTCTGTAAAGATAAAGGAGCCGATGAAGTAGGTGGAAATGAAAAAAAGAAAGCAGGAGTGGTCTTCTGTGTCGCTGTTGTAGTCGCCGATACAGAAATTATTGTGGCAGATGTAGTTATCGTGCTGGTCGGAAAAGTAAATATGGAAGATGGAACTACTGTAGAGTTGCTTTCAGATGTTGAGACAGAGCTGAAATTTGTAACTGATGGCAGTATTGGGAGTGAAACTGAAGCTGACGTAGTTACAGCTATTGTTGAAGTGATTGTTGGTTCCTTCAAAATTGATACATGGGCAGTAGAAGCAGTAGAGAAAGAAAATGAAACTGATGTAACAGCAGTTGCTAATACTGTACTTGCATTAGTCACTGAGATGGATGGAGATGTGTTGGATGTAGAAGTAAAGCCAAAACTTATGCTACCAGGTAGACTTACTATAGAAGTAACGGCAATAGATGTTGGGATAACAGCTTGAGTACTGATAACTTCACTAACTGAACTAATTACAGGGAAACTGAAATGTTTAGAAGTAGTTGAAGATGCCGATGGATTGCTAGTGGAAGTGATATTCTGAACTGATGCAGAAGTGTTACATACAATGACTGACATGAAACTTACACCAGACGTTGAATGGACACTAGGCAGTGACGATGATATGGTAGAAACTATCGGGGATGAATTTGAAGTAGCTAAGATTTGACTGACGGGACTACAATAGCTAGCACTTGTAATAGAACTGATAGCAGAGTGAGTACTATAACCACATGAACTGTTCGAACTATGATTACTAGATTTGGCTGAAATCAGTTCACGAATACGTTTCACACGTGATTCCACATCAAATCCCCCAGAAGCAGTCTTAATCTGTGACTGACTCATCTTATCAAGAAATAGGTTTGAATGGCCTTCAAGGTTTGCAATAAAGCGATTTAAGGATGTCGGTTGAACAACTGGGAGTTCTGAACTATCAGTCTCTGATTTCTCATCGTAGCAAGTTATATTAGTAACTAGTGGTGGTTTAATATTATTCAAAGACGACTGAGTTGAATCATTTACGGTTTGATTGCTTTCCGTTGCAATCCTACGAGCAGTAACTTTATTCCTTGAATACTGAAAGGGTGATGTATCCAAATCAATGGAATTAAAATCACCTGCTCCTGAGGTGTGATTCTCTAAGGCATAATGACTCGTGTATGCCAAAGCTTTAGTAGACAACAAATGGGCTTCAAGTTCAGACGGTGACATGTATGGAATCTTTCTTCTCAGAGCTGCAGCAGATCCAGAAATATTATTTGGGGAAGCTCTAACACTCCCCGTAGATGACGTGGTTGAAACTGTTCTATCATCTTCACATTCATTAAAAACTTGAGTCTGAACGGACCTGCTATTTCGATCGCTCACATTGGATGGTAATCTGTTATCAGTAGCACAGACAGTAACCCCAACTGCATTTCCGCTATTGAGTTGACGTAAGGATGTGAAAGAAAAGCCGTCGACATCGTGTGTGCACCCCACGGTAGATATATCAAATGTTCTAGATGTTTTTCGACGCTTAGAATTTCCAAAGTCTGATCCATCTTGCGATGATTCCTCTGTAGTAACGGTAATATCAGTAAGTTCACGAGCACGCTTTTTTGATTCGAAAACACGTAAACCATGTTTAATGGCTATGTCTGAATTAGGTGGCTCAGGAGTCCCAAATAAGTTTGTCTTTGTGCTTTCAGTCCGACAAACGCGACGTTTCAGAACTGGAGAATGGTAGCCATTTAAAGGCTGGAAGTTAAAGATAGTCGGCATATAACTTGGGGAATCCCTGGATAATGTTCGACTTCGACCGAAATAGGCTGAAACCAGTGATTGTTTAGAACGATCTGAAGATGTTGAGCTTGAACCATTTAAAAGAGAGTGTCGCCTTTGAGAATGATTTATTGGACCATTTCCCGACACTTTCGGTAAGAGAATTCTGGAGTAGTAAGGCTGGGATGTCTGTGGAGAGTTCGACGAATTTGATATCACAGGGTTGTTCCGGTACATTAGTGAAAACTGTTAGTGGTTATCATGTACAGCTAAAAACATAAACAAGGAATATGGAAAAAGACATAACCATATGGTAAAATCGGTAATATCTCTTTAACGATTGTCACTCAAAATCAACTTAGTGAACTGTGATATGTAAAACGAAACCCGTTCTGAATAATAAGTATTTAGTAGATATACCACGGTTCCTCAAAGATATTTAGATTAGTCCAGTATACCAAAACAACACCGTCATCTTAAGCGTACATAAAGATAAATAAACACAATGTAAAACCTCACAGGAACAAAACTTTTCGAGCTACCATACTTCACGTATGTGAATGGCATTACTTTTATGGGTTTAACTGGAAATGGACTTTCTAATAGTCTGTATTAAGTCTTCAGTTACGTGCACGGATTTTTCTCATATGTAGGAAGTTGCATTTTTCATGCAGTCTACTAAACACCTTAAATTTATATTAGACAAGGACGATTGGTGACTACATCCAGAAAGTACAGAATATAAACCCAAAAAATATCAACACCTGATGGTGTTTAATGAAAAATATCTTTCTCGGGTCTTGTTAACTTCCGAGAAGAAACGGTAGGTCTTATCTGTTTACTAGTGTTCATTTCCGTAACAGATTTGGACAAGGATCATCTTTACGTGAGCCAAGAACTGGCTTTCATTAGCCTGATACAACGTGAGTACTATGGACGCTAACTTCTGAGAATTTCAGGTGGATCATCGAAAAAGTAAGTCACAGGGGTAAACCATACTGAATTACCATTGTCTTACTTTCAACCAAAAGAACGAATAGATAAAATAAAAACTTCACACATTAAATAGCATTCATCTAGCATCTAAAGACATTTTCACATCTCTGAAAGCAACTCACTCAATGGTAATTATGTAAACCCCACGGAAAGTCCCGAAGAAAAACTATTTAATTGTTACTGTAATGCACACGAGGTATCGTAGCCAGTAAACTAACTAAACATCCAGACAAATTCTGCTGAGACAATAAATTACGATCCAAGATGCATTAGCTACATTCGGTGTGAATGTACTGCGCAATTTAAGTGTAAATAACGTCTATAATCAAGTGGTGGTCAACGTAGTAGACCACCTAATTCTTTACTGTCCAACTCTTACGATGACATTTTACATGTGAGTGGCGAGGAAAGCTTCTTAAACATTGCCATACTCATTCAGTGTTTAAAAAATTACATCGCCATTTGATTTCTTAACGTTAGTACGAAAATCTCTGGGTAAGAGGTCATCTGAGAAATCAAACAAACGATACTCTTTCAAGCAAATCTATGATAAAACTGAATTAAAACCAGGGAAACAGACGCTCTTAACAAAAACACCAATTGGTGTAAATAACTTAATGATGACCCCAAATGCTCTGGTACGACCAAGAGTGGGGAGAGTCACCTCTCCCTCTCGAAATACTCTCATATGGCCAGCGAATATATAGCCTCTGCCAGGGAAGTCCTACTCACTGCCTTCACCTGGCGGGGATGTTGTTTACAAAATTGAGAGGACGAAAAGCGAACGTCCGGCGCTTCGACCGGGTTGGTGGACGCGGATAGTCCACCTAGGTGAGTTGGAAAACCCTGATTCTAAACCAATAGTGCACATGGGTCCCAGGATCCTGAAGGAACAAATGATGTATGAACCAATTATCGGTCACCGGCTACAATGGGACTGCATCCCCTGACGTTGCTCCACTGTCTTGTGGATTAGACCTTTAGGTCGAAGGCTTCAGGTGTGGCCCCCCAAGAATACCACCTGCTTCGGTTTCGGCATCCGGGCAGTATCACAGCCCATACACAAATCAAGTGACTTGTGTGGTGCATATGTATTCGGTGCCCCTTTGTAACAATATTTATTTGTTCAAATAAATAAATAAATGGAGTCTCGAGATTTCACAAACTGAAACAGGAGCTTTGTTAGCACTTTTACCTGATTATTCCTACAATTAATTGATTACTACGACTGACAAGTGTGGAGCATATCACAAACACAAATCTTTGAAAGTACTCAGAAGATTCTACAGCCTATAACTGTCTTTGCCCAGAAGGACTGACACCTTTTTAACTTAGACGCACCATAAGCCTTCACATAGATCAGATCCTGAAAAGGCGCATCTGAATAATGTTTCATAAGACTGAAGAATAACGTTTTGACCAACAATCACATATCTGAAACTTCCCTGATCCAGCTCCCATACCAGATTTGCAATGATTGAAAAGCTAAGGGTCATAGAAATTAACGCAGTTGAAATAATTTTTAAGTGTTCATCATAAAAACGTCCTGCCCTTCTTGCAAACTACATTAAATATAAAGATCAACTTGAAGAAACTATTCATGATACTCCATCTACAGCTCAAAGGTAGTTTGGGCTTGCTAACCAGCTACCCTTCAGTTGAACTGTAGTTTTCTTAGTAAGAACTTCAGTAATGATATCAATAATATATTTATGATGGACAGCATATAACTACTAATTAATTAGTGGTCAGATGACATCTCAACCTTTTACATATGCTTATTATAATAGTGAGAAAATGTGCATGCAACTGAGTAACCAAACACAAATTTGTTTGTTTTACATCCCCGTTTTTGTAAGAATATAGATATTTCTCATTTAGCAGTTTGAGCAAAATTCTAGTTTACAACCTGGTGAGTGGGAATCAAGTGCCTTAATTAGTAGCCAATCTCTGTCGGGATTTCGAAAACATTTATTTAAATGCTCCTTAAACTCAGGTCTGAATTACTGATAAGCTAGTTACAGCAGTTACCAGTTACAATGATTGAATTCACATAGTTTTCTTTTTGGAAATGTGTGAGACTTCAATTAAAATCATTTCGAACACCATCTGTACTGTAGTGGGTCCATGAGAGGAAGCTATATGTAGATTGTGCAGATTCTAATTTCCTCTACAACCATTCAGCTAAACAGTACACAAGTGGTTATCAGCGGAGAAACAGTTGAGTACTGTATGAGTGCAACCTAAATACATGTAATCCCAAAGAAACTAATTGACGAATCGTCATACGCAAAACGAGACGACCATATATCCCTTACATTACTAAGATAACATTAGGAAATTTAAAAAATCCAGATTGTGCGTATTAACCCAAATACATGAACCCATAATCATATCACTATCAATGAGACTTGCTATTCAAACATCATGATGTTGGAAATATCGAGGTAAAACCAGAAAGCTTGGATAGAAAGGGAGGTGGGGGAAATTACTGTCTTATTTTTCCTCTACTTTCCTTACTCATCGATCAAACGTTGGTGAAGCCTAATGATAGAATCTATCCGCCTAGGCTCAAAATGTTGGAGCAGCGCTTAAACCAACTTAGACGCTGAAAGTGTTGTATTTACTAGACTACTAAAGTCACTGAAAAACTGAACACAACTAACCGAAAACCAAGAAACTACGTGCTCTATTTACCGAAACGACCCAATATACAAATAACATTATTTAGGACTGATTTATTTAATCGTTACTTTCCGTCTATCTGATAGTTTTTATAAACTCTTGATGTGATATCAGATGCTAACTTGCGATCATAGACAAAAATTTAAATGCCAATAGTCAGGTTAACATTAGTCATCTTAGATAAAAGTATTACATAAAACTGTGCATATTTATTGGTTTCACTTACCATATCATACATCAGATTAACAGTAGTAAGCTAACTAGATAGAACAATGGAGCGCAGACAATAAAACCCAGTGATGGGAAAGGAGGCAAAAAATTGAGCTGAAAAGAATAGATATGACTAGGAAATAGGGATACACTTTAAACAGCTAACAAAAATATGGAAAAAGTATGTTTTGGCACGAATGAAAATGATGTTAAGACATTAACTTTTGACTACAGATTGGTTTTTTGATAGACCCTAGTCACGTCACCACTTATGATAGGACATGAATTCGTCTAATAAAGAATGGTCAGAATGACGAATTACAGAAGGACTAACCGACAAATATTACGAAGTGAACAGAAATTTTAGTACAAGCCATGTGACGCTTCAATTAACTACCAACTTTGAAACAGGAACTCTGTTGATGCTTATTCAAAATTATCATTTCATTTTACTTATATTGATAAAACTTTATTTTACTTTCTTCACAAAAAATGGACGTAACTTCTTTAACTGGAAGGATCCTTTCTGGTTGTACCTTTGCTAACGGAACTATTTCTACCATTATTATTATTTCGCTAATACACTAATGTTAATGTTCTTCTTTCTCTTACACGCACCCTACATTCTTTACCTTTTCACATTCTCATCGCTATTATGTGGAGCATATGTATCTGGTGCCCCTTTGTACCAATACCTATGTGTTCAAATATACAACAATATTCATGTCTAGTCTGTAGATAAAGGAAACATAAATAAAAGGCTGTACACGGATGTAAATTGGGTGGAAAAACATGACTTAAAGAGTAGTGAGCGAAACAAAAGTAAAATTTGTGAACTAGGTAAACAGTATAAGGCATTAGGCAACAACTTAGATCACATATAAATGAGAATTGTATGGTTTTTAGGTCTAGCTTTGATTTTTGATGAAACCGAGATGCGACTATGGATAACAAAAAGTAAAGAATCCCAGCTGAGAAATGAAGAATCTGCTTAGGGGGATGGTAAATGAGAGTAGCGACACTCGTCCTCGAAGCCTACTAGAAATAAATTGATCACCACAATTCCCCAACTTTTGAATGATCTTTGAAATGTTTTTGTGGTTAGATGAATAAAATACTTGGACTGAATTAAACTATATCCACCAATTATCCTTATAACTAGTAAACTGAGACAATGATTTTGCAAGGTAAGCAAACAAGCTGTCAACAGACAGAAAGTGATTTTCCAGTTCGAAACTGTAATGTTTCGTGTCACAACACTCACGACTAATACATACGAAAAAATACCGATCTCTTACTGAGTTACTAGTTTTAATGGTTTCGAGACAAAACATCTCATTACAGCATAATATTGCACAAAAAACAAGTGTGAAAATCCCGAGGATTTTGAAGTGGAACGATAAATTATTTCCCTAAAAATGGAACCTAATCCCAACGTTTGTCTACAACTATTATTAAATATAAGGCATGAACGCTATGTAAAATAACAAATACATGTATACCAACGCAAATCACCTACAGCCACAGCAAAACGTGAACAGCCGCCCCGAGGCGCTAAAAGTTGTTTTAATCCACCAACATGAAATTCAAAACTTCCTCAGCAAAAACTATCAGGAAGCGTAATGACAAATGAATAAAAATGTCAATAGTGAGAATTGATTTTATTTGCATGCTTCATCACAAGAATTTGGAGAGAACTTATTATAAAGAATGAAGACGTTTCGTAGTTCTTTCCTAAAACAGAAACTGAACATTGTATTCAGTGGCGTGTATAGGATGATATAAGTCCACAACAACGAAATAGTGGGGATGCCCAATTTTATCCATAGTATTAATCAAATAGTGAAACAAAATATTAGAAGCGGAAGGTGACGCTACAGATTAGCGAGACTTTTGGTTACTTCATAGCTTCTCTTTTATTTCAAGTGATTGTGGATAGGTCCTGTCACTGAGGTCAGTGCTTGAATTGGACTACAGTAGTTAATTATGTTATTTACGTTAAATGAAGATTCCTCTGTAATTCATTTCGCTTTGACTGCGAGTTGCAAAAATAACACGTTCACTTCCCCCCATTTGTTCTAAAGATGCACTATTCTAAAAATCCTTTTTCACACATCGATTAGACTACCATTACTTAACAGAATACTCTAGAAACTGTTTAGAAATGTCTTAGGCGTGATATAATATTCAATAACTACTTCTGATTTTCTGATATTTCAGGCGGTATTATTCGGTGATTTAAGACGTTTCACGAGGGGCTTGTGGAGAATGTTAACATAGACTACTTTTGTAATTCGTTTTCCTTATTAGTTTGTTTATTAATTCTCATAATCCGTACAAATACCATTATTGAACGTAAAATTGTTTTAAAAAACCATGACCTCAGACCTTCCGAGTATTCTCGTATCTTGAAAGGAAGAAGAAAATAATATTTATACAAACAAAAGAGTTGAAAATCAGGTGCAAAGTCCTTCTATAGAAATTTCTCCGTCTGCATTACCAGTGTGAACTTTGCTATAAAGGCGTTTTGGCCACATTTGGGATAAACGTCTAAGTCACAGAGGACCAAGACACTTAGATCCTTTTCAACTAATAACTCTCCTTGAAGGTAACCATCTAAATTTTGTGTTCGATGCCTTGTATTTGCACCTTCATGGTCGAACGATAACGAGGCTGGTATGTTTCCCCTAACTCCACACATATCCTTGTAGTGACCGGCCAGTCTCGATAAGAACACGATTGGAATAATAGAAACAATTATTATTATTGTAACCAATTGTACCAGAGATTGTTTTACTGTATTTGTTTAACTGTATCAGTTTCACTTCTGCTTTCGCTCTCCGCCTTGTTTGGTTCGAACTTGCTCACGCATTGCCTGTTCGCCTGTACACTTTGGCACGTCTCGGTATTATTTCGATACCACGAGATCGCCAATAAATATACTTGATCTGGACTAATAAAGCCTTCTGATTTACAAAGGAACCAAGTCGTTTTTGGGCGCGTAAACGAATTGTAGTGGTGATCATAGTCCGTCTTCGACTCGACATCCACTACAAACTGGTGAGCCGTATTGGGAAAACGCACATCTGGTGAACCACAACCAGTAACCCAATTCTTCGAGCACAGTTCAAACTTGGCCAATTCTCCAAGCCAGATCAATCCGGTGAGTCTATTTATCTATCCACTTCTGTTGCATATATTTGTATTGATATTTTTCAATATATAATATCTTGGCAACTTACCATGGTGGATAACGATAAGAGTAGTATAAATATAATAGACTCCGAGGTACAGGTTATCAACTTTCGACCGGTTCCTTTCATCCCTCATGATCCAGAAGTCTGGTTCGCGGCACTGGAATCTCAATTTGAGATCCGCCGCATAACCAACCAAAGGCAAAAGTACGCCTACGCTTTGGAATCATTGCCTGGGGAATTTTTCACACCACGGAGCAGCACTAAGTTCGGCGAATCAGACTACGTCCAACGACTGTCTGCATTCATGCGAACACTGACTCCGGTGTCGACTCGTATACAACATCGACAGGTCGCTCTCCCTCGAGAGTTATCTGCCTGTTCACATGTTTTCATACGAGTAGATTCGGTACGCAAACCTCTACAACAGCCTTACGAGGGCCCTTTTCACGTGATTTCCCGTCACGAAAAGACCTTCAAGGTTGATCGACGTGGCCGCATCGAAACAGTCAGTCTCAAGCCAACACACGTCGATGACAGTGCTATACCTGATAAGCCGAGACCCAATGTTAGACCCATCAGAGCTTCTAGCGGGATTTCTACATCTACTTCGGATCCCACGCTAGATGCACCTGAGACCTCATTCTCACGTCCCAGTCAACAGCACGTGTCATCTGCCCCGTCTACGGACGAGACTTCCGTCTCACGTCCAGACCTACAGACCACACCGCCCTTGACTGCGGATGAGATTGCAGGCTCACGAGGTTCGAACGAGACTACCGTCTCACGTTCTGGTCGCCGAGTACGCTTACCCGTACGCTTTCTCGACTAACCTCATAACCAACTACGGATACAGTATAGGAATCTGCCCCTATACTACAAGAAAGCTACACTTTTCTCTTTTTCTATCAATTTTTTTGTTTTCCCCGAGCCTACGCCTCCAACCATCGCTGTTACGGTATCGTCGACTTCAGTCAACTTTGGCGAAAGCTGGCCTGATCACCCACGCTCTAGTCAACGCACTCAGTCGACCTCTCTGGCTCCAAATACGTATGGTATACATTTGGTCCCGAAAATGGTTATTCTGGTCGCATCTGGTTCCTTGGCTCAATCTGGTTTCGTCCTACGTCTGCAGCGTTTCTGGTCCGGACCTCTGCGAACGCAACCTTCAGATTCTGGATACAAACCACTCTGGTGTAGCATGCTAATCCAAGCAATCAATACAGTACGTTCCTTCTGGTACCGTTCTACGTCAAAGACTTTTGGTGGCAACTCGAGGATCAACGATCATTTCCTGTTCTGCCAACGCCTTCGTCCTACAATTGTACGTTTCGCGATCAGTCCCACGAACGAAACCGCTACGTATCGAAAGTGTAAACCCTTTCTAGCGGGGGGCTCCTGTAGTGACCGGCCAGTCTCGATAAGAACACGATTGGAATAATAGAAACAATTATTATTATTGTAACCAATTGTACCAGAGATTGTTTTACTGTATTTGTTTAACTGTATCAGTTTCACTTCTGCTTTCGCTCTCCGCCTTGTTTGGTTCGAACTTGCTCACGCATTGCCTGTTCGCCTGTACACTTTGGCACGTCTCGGTATTATTTCGATACCACGAGATCGCCAATAAATATACTTGATCTGGACTAATAAAGCCTTCTGATTTACAAAGGAACCAAGTCGTTTTTGGGCGCGTAAACGAATTGTAGTGGTGATCATAGTCCGTCTTCGACTCGACATCCACTACATCCTAATGCCACCCTTTTTCGAAGTCGGACCAGGTCCTCCAGAAATGCTAGCTTGTCACTCTGGCAGTGAAATTTTCTCCAAAGCTCGATAAGTCCAACTGAAAGTAATTTCCTAGAAGACAAATACTGAGCAATGTCATTTGCACAAATTAAAATAAGAAGAGGTCTTAATACTGAACCTCATGCGGCCTCATTTGGAGATTCTGTTATCTGAGGAGAAGGGTGATTTACCATGACTTTTAATGATCGATTAACTATGTTCAACTTCGGTCGGTCCACTAAAGGTGACTTAACATGTACTGATTTGAGCTTATTTGTAAAACACGTATTAATTACCTTGTCAGAGGATTTTAAGAAATAGACATATACCATATATTCCCCTTCCTCTTTTCTATCAGATTTAATGGTTTATCTATCGAATCCAGTGGGCAGATTTGGGAGTGACCTTTTCATGCTTTTGAGTAACTCTAGTTTTTTGGATAGCAGAAACCAGACAAGTAGTGAATAGGTCTTTATTTTCTCATAGGACTAGCCCACAGAGGAGTGGGAGGTTACCTACTCAAACACGCAAAACTTTTCGACACTCAATAAGAGATAATGGGAAATATAACGCCTATGCAAAATAGGGATATGAATGAACAGTTGAACTTTATCGTTTTGACATATACTTAATTGTTTGAAGTCATTTCTTGATTAATCAACGCAGGTTGCTATAGCCTTTCCTGAAATTATGATGTAGTAATATAAAGGAGTTATCGGATAGTATATGGTAGATCATAGATTCTATGACCTGTGACGGTATCAGAAGAAACTTTTCCGACTGGCAACTTATGACGTCATTGCTCTAGTCCCACTTGAAGACCAGGGTGGTGTTTGCCACCTCCCATTAGTCTGGGACTACTCAGTTCGGATGATATCATAATAGAAAACGACTGTATTTACTCCGAGGTAAGGCCGCTTCGATAAGTATAATAGAATAAACCATGTCCAGTCCTGAAAGCATACTTATTTCTGTATAGCACTTTGTAGCGCATCACTTAACTAATACGGTTCACTCTCATGATTCTCAGCTAGTATGAAAACACTGCTTCGTTGATAAACGTTGTAAGGGACATTCAGAATGCTTATAATGCATGACATGGGAAATCTGCTTCGTCAGCCCCTTAGTTAGCCCTTTAAACCTAAGGTACGGGGAGAATCCGGCTTCGACCTGTCGTTATTTGCTTGTTTGAACTCGTAGCAGTTTTAGTGAATTGGTTAACGGCTAGCCCATATCATCCTATAACGGTCAAAACATTCAAGATAAAATATTCATCTGCTTCTTTCTTCCAGTAATAGTAACCATGATAACAGTAATGTATTCTCAAATAGAAACATATTACACAAAGCATGCCAGTTTACAGGCGGAATCAAAATATTACAAATATCACAGGGTTTATGGTAGTAAATTACCCAGGTGGCTTGATATGTTATAAGGCATACTTATCATAGAAACGGAAATAAATTGGTGTACATAAGAATATGAATAAAGTTGGTAAAACTCGGAAGCTAAATGTAAAATTTGAAGCGCTTTGTGGAGTCTGCCTTACAATGAACAAGTGGTGGTCGAGA